TAATTATGATATTATATCTGAGGCAAATAATTTCTTAGCTTTCCTAGATGTTTTTGTTATCCAAAATCCTAACAACATCATAGGTCACACTGTGTATAGAAAAAAGACCCATACAAACTGATATTTAAGCGGTGAATCTCACCATAATCCTTCACAGTTAGTTACCATGAGCAAATCTTTGTTACAGAGACCATATGGGATCTGTGAGAACAAGCACCTGGCCGCGGAGCTTCAGCACGTCAAGCAGGTTCTGCACAAAATCAAGCTTCGGGTCCCACGTCTTCGTCACAGTGACCGAGTGAAGCCGACCGCAGTTGAGCGTGTGCCTGCTGTACTACCGTATGTCAAGGGTGTCACCCCAACCAGATAGACATACATCAGATTTGATAGACCACAAATCCTCGTTAAAGAACATTAATTCCTACCAAGGATGATATGTGAGGCTACTGAAATTAAAAAACATCCTAATTTCAGTAGAGAAGGCGGTTGGGTACTGCCACCTGCTTGGGACACTATAATTAATAAAATTAAAACAAACCCCAAGCATACCACTGCAAGACTTAAAGATAGAGTAAGTTCAATCTGCGTAGATTGGACTATAAAAATAATAATAAAAAGCTGAAGGTACTCCATGTCCCAATACTGACAGTGGGATGGCAGTCACCTCAGTACCCCGTGACCATGGGTGCTATAAAGCACCTGAAACTTCAGGAATTAATAATAATAGTATAATAATAATATAGCCATTTATTTCCGAACTTTGGGGTTACATAATATTTGTGTTTGAGTTCCTATTGTAATACTAGTTAAAGTAAGTCCCTCTGTTCGGTGTGCCTTTTGGCATAGGCCTCCAAAAGAAAAATCACGCGTCGGGAATTAAAAGTTAAAGAAATTAAAAGCAATAAAATTGGTAAAAGTAGTCGTTAAAAAGCTGTATTTGTGAAAATAAAAAGCTTTATATCATAAAAATCCCGACTTTTTTTAAACCAATTCCTTAACCATTTCATTAATTTAATTGCATATTATCATTTCCATATGCTTTTATATGTGGGCACCCATGGCCGAAGTATCTATGAACAGTGGGCATCCCCCTTTATATTTCGCAACTTTATCAAAATTTTCTTTAGAAATGAAATAATTTTTAGACTTCCCTTACAAATTTGTCAGCTGACTAAAATGTTTTGCTTGGATTTTTTTTTCATTTCTGAAGAAAATTTCAATAAATAGTTGTTGTTTGACGTTTTGAATTTTTGTCAAATTTTTGAGATGAATAGTACCAATAAATGTCAAAATATACTAAAACACTTTGTTTCATTTACAATTTTATTTAAAAAATTTGCCTTTTCAAAAGTTGTGTTCAGCAGTCGTAGCGCGTAAGCATTTTTAGCACTTTGGCGAAAACGCCAATGATAGTCTATCACTTTCTAACTTATACTAGCTGTAAGCGATAGTCTGACATATCCGTTGATCGCAAATTGTTAAAATCCTTATGCGGTACGACTGCAGAAGTATTCCTGAAGTGTTTAATAACACTCTTTAACAACATAATTGTTTTAATTAAGATTTACAGGTTTGACGTGGATGACTTTTATGTCGTCCTTACTATGGTTCCCTTTTAGATTTCATTAGATTCATCTACAATTTTTAAAATATGGCGATAGGCAACAGTTCTCATACAAGGGTGTAAAAATTGCAACTCTGTCATCAGTACTTGGCAAAAATGATAATTTCTTTTGTCCACTATTTCGAATTGTACGCAATCTGGGCAAACGGAATTTGGAATTTGGTGCGCCGATGACAATTTATTTTCACAATCATGTTCCGGAGGTGAGTCACAGTCCACTGGTTCCTCAGAATTATGCTTTAAAGGTGAAGATCCTAATTGATTTATTGACGAATCCCGTATTTCATTTTTCGGCGGCGTAAAACTCTGTGACAACGGTTCTTCTACTCGTATATCTTCTGGTATATTTTCTCGTATATCTTCATTATCTTCTGGTTCGTATACTGGAATAGGTTTATTCGTTTCCGATACTTTTGTTAATTTTCCATAGTAATTTGTCGATTTCAAAATACTTTGGGACATTTTAGTGTCTTCCGAGTCAAAAACAATGGGTAATAGTTTCCTTTTCATGCCTGCAAAAAAGTTTGTTATGTCAATTGAACTGGTGTTTTAATCAAATACTAATAAATGCGCCTGACAACATACACATTGTCGGTCTCAAAGAGGTTTCGAAGAACGTCGTTATTAGAGGTACCGAACAACGGATACACTGGGGGCGTCTTCCAGCAATACCCAGACTAAGGAAAAATTGAGAAAAGTAGTTTTTTTAAACTTCACCCTACCGAGAATCGAACCCGGGACCTTAGAGCGGCGACACCTTGAAAATCGGGGTTTACCCTGGTTGACCACAGAGGTAGTCGGCGTTTTTAATATAAGCAACTTCAGTAAAAGTCATGATTTTTAAGTTAAAGTGAACACAAAACAAATCTGTGATTTACTTAAATAAATATAATATATGATAATATGATATAACTAGCTGTTCCCCGCGACTTCGCCCGCGTGTTATTTGGGCTTTTAATTTTTTTGCACGGAACCCTAATTGTTTTTCTAAAATAAAAATAGCCTAAGTTACTCCTTGTGACATTAGCTATCTGCCAGTGAAAATCTCGTCAATATCGGTCCAGCCGTTTCTGAGATTAACCGGAACAAACAGACGGACAGACAAAAACTTTAAAAATTGTATTTTTGTTATTAGTACCGTATATACTTTCATATGTATTTGGTAAAAAGCTGTAATTTTGAAATTACAAATAGACACTTCAATTTTATTTATTTGTATATATATCGTATATTATGTATAATATAGTTAATATAATAAATTCCAGAATAACCCAAAATATAATTGGGTAGTAGTTAATGTTACCCAATTATATTTCGGGTTATTCCGGAAATCCCCACTGGCTTTCCCCACTATCAAGCCGATCTTCCTTGTATTACATACTGGATGTTACAAAAAGGGTACTTATAAATCCGAAAATTTTTTTTGATATCCCATACAAAATTGGGCACGTGACCAGACAATTTGTATAGGTGATTGAATTTTTTTCGGATTTTGATAAGTATGTGTTTCTTTGGAGAAAGTTGTTCAGTTTCATGAGTAGATTTACCTCCCTTCGGATGTATACCCTTTTTGTAACACCTAGTATATTCAGGGATACGGAAAAGGACATGGCCTACTTTTTATCCTGAAAAAAAAGTTTCTTTAAGATGATAAAAGTTACGCAATTTAACTGTAATTCACGCAGACGAAGCTACAGGCGAAAAGCTAGTTAAAGATAAATTAAAGATACAAACCAGACATCTTGCTTGAAGAATAATCACTTGTTTGAACAGGAATCACATCAATTACTTAAAAATAAATATACGTATATAAAAATAATAATACGCGTTAAACAATTTGAACACACGCAAACAGAACGTACTTATGTATGACCGCGTACCTTACCTATGACCGTTGATGTTAGAGAGAGTAAATAAGACGCGAGAACGAGGAATTTATTTTTATTGTATCGATATATTGGTATCAGTATCAATACCGATAAACTGACCGATAAGTATCGATATTTTTGTACTGAAATCAAATATTGATACCAATATCGATAAATCGATACCGCAATATCAGTACTTATATCGATAACCCGATATCGATACTTGCAAAATATCGGTATTACAGTCCCTGTGGTTTTTAAAGGAATGAATGAATCTTTACTTTTGTACAAGTGCTGTTAAAGTTTGTTTGCTCAAATAAAGTAATTAATTTTTCAATAAATATGGCACTTACGACTAAATTTTTGATATCGGCATTAAGAGTACTTATGAAATACTTTATGAGATTTCTAAAACTTAGCAAGACCTATTGAAAGATGACTGAATCATGTAAAGAAAAAGAGAGATTCAAGACTGAATCATTATAACGAAATAAAAAAAACTATTTTTATTGACTAAAGCATTACGCCGCATTATGCCGCATCTGGTCCGACTACATTCTACATCGGTGTAAGTTAATTGTGGGTTCTTGTAATCTTATTATTAATGCGTTTTATGATAAAAAATTGTATTGTAGTCTATGATTTTGCACATAAAATATTGTAAACAATAGATGTAAGATTAAAATAAAATAAAATTGAACTATAAAAAAACTTTGTGTCATTGAGAAATATGATAGTTTTGACTTTATTCAATATTTAGTTATACTAATTACTTTGAAAAGTTATTAAATATATGTCCTCGTTTATAGGAAATTTCATAGAGAATTCAGAAATGTATACATATTATAGTATTCGATATACCAAAAACAAGATATTTGCGTTTAAACGGATTGGGTCCAATCAGCGGTCCATTTTATTAAACAGCTCCGCAGTCAACGGAGTATTACGGTTAGAGTCTCCGCAGCTGAAAGGTTAATTGTGGCCAAGACTACGTTGCTTGTAGAGCTGGTGCGGCCTTTAGTTCTCCTAAATAGTTTAACATGTAGTTGTGACGTTGCTACATCGTGCAGGAGAGCTCTATTCTTCAACCTTCGTGTCTGTGAGGTCGAAGACCACGCCAATCAGTCGCAAAAGTGGGTTCTATGTAGTCGGCCTGTAAACAGTTAGATTGGCTGCAGAGCTCCTTAGTTTATCCTAAAGGATGTCTCTGTTCTTCTCGGACTCGCAACTGATGAGTACTTTTTGGTTCTTTGCCTTTTTTATATTGCTAACGCCTATGCTCAGATCGACTACGACAATCCCGCCCTTAACCTATTTGATTATGTCTTCACTCGTGCTTCTCGGGTCAATTGATTCTACCAATATTGGGTAGTGTGGCTTCCTCAGGACTTCCGAGAAGGTGAGTGGGGGATTCTATAATTGTGCGTTGTCGAGTGATGTTTTTGTTCCTGATCATTAATGTCTTGTGATTGTCATTTATATTCTGCAAGATCTACTTCCCCTACATATCACTGGTTTTTCAGCTCTTTCCTGAGGCTTTCTATTGCTAGTCGGATTGGTGCTGCTGATTCCACTGTGATATCTCGTAGCTCTCTGTTTTTCCTTCTGAGATCTTCTAAGTTTGCTTGAATCGAGGGCAATGGAGATATGGAGGAAGCGGCGGTTAGTTCTTTGATGTCTTGTGACATAGAATTAATGTCATCTCGTATTTCAGCTACTTCCGCATTTAATTGCATTCTCAGGTCAACAACTTGCTTGTGCAGTAGTTCAGTTTTTTGGTGTTGTTGTTCCACACTCTCCTGATCACGAAAATTTTGAGTAAGAGCGCTGCAAGGTTCCTTCCTCAGACCGTATTCGTTGACTACTCGACAAAGTTCTCGCAGCTCTTCAACAAGATGAGTAGAGTCTGATTGAATTATTCAGAAGCGAGTCGAAATCTGAGGCTGATACAACATCACACCCCAACTTCGACCAGCAGGAAACGTAAATTAAACGTTTTACCAGATTTTGAGGTAAGCACATCTTATTTAATTTTAATAGTTTGATTTACCATTCACATGATGAAAAGTTAGTTTCTATTTGATTGGATGTTGTGAATAAATTATCAGTCATGGGTTATTTTTTTATGAGAACGTATTTAATTATATTCTTAGACGATCGATGTGATTGATACAATTGTTATTGAATTAGACTACTAAGTCATGTTATGAGCATCGTATAAAAATATTTTTATGCGGGATAGGAGGGAATATAAGTATTGTTCCTTGCTTATCAGTATGCTTTTGTTTAAATAGTATTTTTATTGTTTCCAGGATGAAGATTATGAACCTATCCGAGCGGGGATTTGAAAAAGCTACTTATGCCGAACAGGTTCGGGATATATGCACCGGAGCGAGCCTTCGAAGCCAGGAGAATATTACATTGAAGTGCACATCTCTAACTTCCGCGAGCTGGAGGCTATTCCATCAGCCGACCGCTGGCAGCACTCTCTGATCGGCTTTAAATCAGCTGAAGATGAGAAAACCCCAACGTGGAAGGCCGTTACCCAGTTGGTATCATGCATCAAAGAAGATTTATTTATTTATTTACACTTTATTGCACCATAAAAAGATTACAAAGGGCGGACTTAATGCCATTAGACATTCTCTCCCAGTCAACCCAGGACGTGTGTAAAATAATGTGATATGTGACAAAATAAAATGAACAATAGAGTAAATCAAGAAAAAAACTACTGATAAACTTAAAAACAAACTAATTGTATATATACAAATACAATAAACTTATATACTCCAAAATATAATACAGATAACATATAATATATACATACATATTCATAGATACATAAATATATACATATTTTAAATACAAATAGATATATAATATAAACCTATAAATAAAATAACAACAAAGGTAACCAAAATTAACCATATTAACTATCATCTAATATTTTCATAAAATGCTTATGTACCAATGTTTTAAAGGCAGTCTTATTAGATGTTTTTCTGACGTCATCGGGCAAGGAGTTCCAGAGCAGTGCAGCCTGAATTGTGAAGGATTTACCAACAAAATTAGTAGAATGTAGAGGGATACTTAGTTTATTATTATATGAGGAACTCAGAGTTCTATCATGCGTTAGGGAAATATATTGAAATTTCTCCTTGAGATAAGAAGGAGTAGATGGATCATTTAAGATAGAGAAGAGAACAAGCAAAATTCTAGAGTCACGCCTCTGTTTAATAGTGAGCCATTTTAGGCGAGAGCGATAGTGAGAATTATGATCAAATTTACGGAGATTGAAAATGTATCTGACGCAATTGTTGAGAAGGCGCTCTAGCTTGTTGAGAAGATTTTGGTTTAAATCCGGGTAACACACGTCTGCATAATCAATGATTGGTAGTATAAGTAACTGTACAAGCATAATTTTAGTCTTAAAGGGGAGAAAATTTTTCAATCGATAAAGAGAACGTAAAGAACCAGAGGCTTTACGACATGTTTCGGAGATATGAACCCCCCAGGACAGAGTACTATCAATATGGAGACCAAGATTTTTAACTGAGGGAGAGAACGGTATCAGTCGATCATTATAATAGACGGGAGGTAGACTAGCGGCATCTATTTTAACAAGTTTCATGTATGCAAGGTTCTGAAAAACGTTCTCCTTCTCTTCTCCATACGTGCACTCGACGATTATCGCTGAAAAACTTCACTTTACTTTCGTCCGTAAGGAACACATTTTTCTCCAGTTGTCCATTGTCCTCTCCGCATGCTCGCGAGCAAACCTCAAACGTGCTGCACGATGAGTTCTTGTCAATTTTAGACGAATAACACGAGATCTGGAACGTTGTCCGTCTTCATGGAGCCGATTTCGAATGGTTTGATCACTAATTCGTGTGTCAGTCGATTGCCGCAGTCGATTTTGTAAGACGCGGGCGGGAATCGTACGCTCTCGACGTGCAGTCAATCTGATATACCGGTCTTCCTGGACGGTTGTAGCTCGCGCTCTTCCTGATCCAGATCTCGACACTACATGTCTCTAGTAAGCGTTCCCACTCGTTTCGTATAGCTCGTCGCGACACACCAAGACGTCTTGCCACTGATCTCTGAGATTTCTCCCTCCTGAAGCATAAACACTGCTCTTGTTGCTGTTTCCACATCCATATGACGCCGAGAACCAGGGATAATGATCGCGAGTAACACCGAAATCAAGTCAAAATGAAAAAATAGTAGACGTGCGACTGTAACATTCAGAATGTTACTGAGGGTACAAGTGCCTGAGAATTTGAGTAATAAACATTTTTTGGAGTACTTCACTTTTTTTGTCTACCCACCATTCAACTCCTTACTTGAAACATTGATAACGTTAGATAAACATGTCAACAATACTTCGAAATGTTTAACTTCACTATTCTACTTCCCAACAATTTTTTTAGACGAAATTCCGAGATTAATTTAGAGTGGGCCCTATTTTTTTTTGAGTAGTTTATACCAAAACACTGATCTATCGTCTGTTTACAATAGTTTTGCAGAAAAAATAACGAACAAGTGGCACATCTAGCTCTTTAAAGTCATAAATGTCAAAAAATCTAAAATTGAGTTAACTATGCCACAACTTTCCTTTTGTACGAATCTATTGGTGTTTGTAAGTGCACGTTATTGTGTACAGACGTGTCATATAGTAATTAAAATAATTAAATAAGTATGTGCTTAGCCGTGACCTCGTTATAACAATACCGGAAGTAACTGTGACATAATTTAGTTATATTTGTGTTAGTGATTTTGTTGAAATGTTTTATCTTTATCTAGAATAGGTACTAAAATAGAGAACAGTCCCTTTAACCGGAGTGCCAGGACCACTCGCACCCCGCCTCCATCAACCCCGCCCATGCATACACCCACTTCAAGCGAACCAATTAAAACACTTCCAACTCCTGAGTTGCAGCATTTGATGACAAGCATTGACCTGTGCCTTAACGAGGTGTGCTCCATCGCAACAGAGGGAAAACTTAACTCTGATCAAAAAATGCGCATTAGCTTGCTTTGTCGAAAAGTAAGCCACGGTACATCACAACTGGTAGTCCAGTACATGTCCCTAAAAATGGATGCCACTAAAGCCCAGACCTCCATCGTATCTCTGCAGAAACAACTTGACCTGTCCCAAAAGCTGCAGGAACTCAAGAATAGTATCGAAGTCATCAAAACCGGACTCTGGAACCAGTTTGCGGACATGGTCAAAAAAAACCTCATTAGCCCAAACAACCTTAGTACCCTAGCAATTTATCTGAGGGACAAGTCCAAATCCAGTGATGACACGAAGTGCCTCTTACAAAAAATAATATCCCCAGAAGAACTCAAACTACATGTCCGAGGCATGAGGAAGGTCAAAAATGGGGGAGTTATAATTAGCGCTGAGACAAAAGGAGATATCGACAAATTAAAGAACTCCGAGAAGCTTGTATCTTCTGGCCTTACCATGGAAGAACCGACTAAACGACGTCCAAGGATTGCAATTGTTGGTGTCCCTGTAGCCCTCACGGATAAAGAAGTATTCGAGTGCATTTTCGAACAAAATATTGCCGATAAATTTCCCAATGCCACGCGTGAGTCCTTCCTGGCAACAGTGAAACTGAGCCATAAATCAGGTAAGAAAAACCTTCCTACCTGTAATTACATTGTCGAAGTGTCCCCTAGCATCAGGAAGGCCCTTATCAATCAAGGACGAATTTATATTAATTGGACCTCATGCCCAGTCAGAGACTTTACAATAGTAACAAGATGCTTCAACTGCCAGCAGTTTGGTCATTCAGCCAAATTTTGTCGGGAAAGTAGCTCTACTGTAACTACTGTGGAGAGCCCGGGCATTCCTTTAAGGAATGTAATAACAAAGCGCATGCCCCCGTTTGCGCGACGTGTAAACGTTTTAAAAGTAAATGCGACCACAAAACTGGTAATGAAAGCTGTCCAGCACGTAAATTCGCAGAGGACAAATATATCAACTCCATAGACTATGAGTGCGCCTAAGAGCGCCGCGTATTATATTATTTACTTAGCTCTTAAACACTAGTTTTAGTTTATGCTTAAGTATGGCGAATCAATTACTCAATTACCTAGAAACTTTTCTGTGTCTGACGCCAAAACATGTAATGTTGATGACTGTAAACACATCCTTCCACGTCCTGAAAATAAGTTAATCTTACTTACACAAAATATTAGAAGCATAAATAGGAGTATAACCGGGTTTGAAGTTTTGTTGCATAGACTGGATATAAAATGTGATATTATTATCCTTACAGAATGTTGGCTGTCAAACCTCCCATCCCACCTACCGATTCTAAATGGCTATTCTTTACACAAAACCGAGAAAAACATTAATCAAAATGACGGTTTAGTAATCTATGTTAAAAATAATTTAAAAGTAATTGCTTAATCATTCGAATTAATTCCGAGACGATTGTTATCGCAGTTTACAGACCTCCATCACAAAATATTGATAGATTTCTAGAGTCCCTTGATATTACCTTAAGCAAATTTAGCACATATAAAAAATATAATCCTAACCGGTGACATAAATATTAACATTACCCCTGGGAAAACAGATAACCATCCACATAACTACCTAAATATTTGCTCTTTTCATGGGCTATTACCTACACATTACCACCCTATACATCAAAATGGTCTAACCATTTTGTGATTAAATCAAATAACCCTTCTTTAACATTAGTTACTAATTCCACGCTTACTGATCATCAAGCAATTTTACTAACATTACAATTAGCCTTATCTAGGAAAAACTGCATACGCAACTACACTAAAGTCCATATGACGAACCTCGAAAATGACATTCGTAGCGATAATTTTGACTTTGTTTATTGCTCTGACGATGCAAATACGTCCTTGAGTTACTTT